CACCGCCCGTCGCTGCCGGGCCCCGTCCCGCCGCGCCTTACGTGTTTTTCTCGGAGGACGTCAGCGCCACCAGCTCGTAGATTTGGGGTCCCAGCTCCGACGTGCAGATGATGAAGAGGGCTCGCTTATCTGCGCCGAGCGACGAGGAAGGTCAGCGCACGGCGAGGGCTTTCACCCAGCCCGCCGGCCCGGCTGTCACCAGCACGGCCGCCGTGGGGCACGGTTTTCGTGGCTTCTCCCTGGCCCGTCTCCTCACCTGTGGCCACGGAGCGGATGAGCACCGAGTTGAGCTTGAGGACGGGGCTGAAGGTCTGCTTGTTGTCCGAAGAGCCCAGCGCCGTCTTGCTGTGGCACTTGAGCACCAATTTCTCGTCCTGCTTCTGCAGCAGCACCAGGAGGTCCTCGAGGAGCAGCACGTGCAGGTCTGGGGTGGGAGAGGAGACGAGAGTGGAGGCTCAGCCGGTGCTGCGAGCCGGGTGGAACCCCCCTCCTTGCAGCCAGAAGGGACGATGGCCCCGTGGATGTGGCAAAGGGGGGTCTAAGGGGGGTCCCTGTAGTGTCACTGGGGCTGTGGGTACAACGCCCGTGTCCTGGGGGACGCTGAGGATGCAGGGGGAGGTCTCCCAGTGCTCCCAGTACCAGGTGTTGGGGAAGGTCCGTACCCACAGTCTTGTCCTTGCTGATGCGCCAGGTGAGCGGCCCTTCGTGGATCATGCGCCGGGAGGTGAGGTCCAGGCTCTGCGGGACGCCGGGGCGGTGGTGAGCACGGGCAGGGTCCGGGCACCCCCCTCCGCTGCCCGGGAGCTGGGGCTACCTTGAACTCAGCAGCCAGGGGGTTGCTGGTCCTCTCCAGCGAGGTGGCATCCAGGCGTTTCTGGTAGCCTTCCAGCCGGTGCCGGTTCTCCGCTCGCTTCACCGCCTCGTTCACGTACTTGAGGATGTCCCGGCACTGGTCCCGGGCTCGGCACAACTTGTCGTGCTCCGAGGTGCCCGCTGGGACGGCAGAGGGGTGAGAGTCGGGCAGCAGCACCCGGAGGAGACGGGGCTGTCCCTGTCCCGCTGCAACAGGCTCCCAACCGCATCCCGGGCACAAAACGCCGCCGGCCCAGAGCTCCCAGCTGACAGGACGGGGATTTTCCCACCCCCAGGACTCCCCTGGCCCAGCTCTTTCTGCTGGAAAGGCGGTGAGTCCTCCCCACCGCCCTGGGACTTTGCTCTGGATGGCACGAGAGAGGCACAAGCCCCACCACGGCAGAAAGCCGTCGCCTCCTGCCAGCCAAAGGACGTGCTGGCGACAGGAGCGCGCAGCCGAGCGACCCTGGGGACAAGCCCCCCCGCCCCCCGCAGTGTCCCCCTCTAGCCCCTACCCTCGGTGTGCTTGATGATGTTCTCCAGCAGCAGCGGGTACTTGGTCAGACGCTGCATTTCGGAGATGATCAAGTCTTTGAGCTGCAGGCGCCGGCACTGCGGATTGCTTTCTGCTTCCTGGGGCGGAGGGAAGAGGGTGAAAGCCCCAAGGTGGGATCGGGGGGAAGCCCAGGGGAGCACCGGGGCGAGGAACGGCCCAGGAGAGGGACCAACCTGCATGAAGATCTGGAAACGGGTCTCCTTGCGCTGCTTGGTTTTGATCAGCTCTAGGGCAATGGATTGGTAAGAGCAGAAGTCAGCAGCGACCTGCTGGATTTCCTCTTTGGCCAGGCCGTCAAACTGGGAGGGATGCAGGGGAGAACTGGGCTCAGGCACCCCCCAGGCTTGACCCTGAGTGTCCCCGAGCTCGTCCGCTCTGAGCGGCCAGAGGACGGCGTGGCAGTGGGGTCACCTCCACCTCCTCTTGAAGATGTCAACCCCTCCACGCTGGAGGACAAGATATCTACCACCCTTGGTCCCCCCTTACCCGAGACAGCATCAGATCCCCAATTTCTTTGATGATTGGTCCTTCTTCCCGGAGCTTCTTCATGGATTCGGAGAGAGAATCTGAATGAGGACGCGAGAGAGACAGACGGGACTCGCGTGAAGGGGGCGCCGGGGCCACCCACCACCAGCGCAAGGTGCCAGAGGGTCCCTGGCGGCTCCCCCGCGTGGGCGCAGGCAGGAGGGGCCGAGAGCCGAATGGGCTTCGATGGCTGCCGTCACGGACGCAGCGTGTCCAGGAGTGTGACAGCAGAAGCAGGTCCCAAAAGCACGCTACGCCAAGGGCCGGGCACGCCCCAGGCCTCCCAGACACGGGCACACCGGCAGAGCC